TCAGACCGACTGGACCCGGTCTTACGTAAAATTCTGTCCCTTGTGTTGGGAGCGCGCACTGCAGCCGGAGGCGGTCCGATTATTTCCACGGAGCTTCTGATAGATTTATCAATAAAACAATTCATATAATCATGTCAAGGTTGTAATTTTGGTTTAATCAGCAGCTAATAAAATGGTAAAATAAATCAATAAATGAGAGTTTGTGTTGTTTTTTTAATCACCTAGAAAACACCAAACAGTTTTCCAACATGTTTGTATTTATGGTTTTATTAGCTGCTGATTAAACTGAAATTACAACCTTGACATGATTATATGAATTGTTTTACCGATAAATCGATCAGAAGCGCCGTGGCTGCAGTGTGCGCTCCCGACACAGTAATATAATAAAACTCGTTTATTATATTAATTTTGTCTTTGTGTGTGTTTGTTTTTTCTCTATGTTGCAACAATTTTTATGCCTCAACCAGATATTATAAACCGTTCGTTCAATATTAATAAAAACACAGGATCAGGATTAAGACGTCAGATTGAAGCAGATTATTTACGATTTTGTTTTCTGTTTTTTATTTTATTGTTTATTAATGTTAAAATTTCTGTTGGGTTTAAAATAGAAACAATACATATTTAAAACAGGAAATTAAAAAACTTAACATCCTGAAAAAATAATAAATATATTTAAAAGATAAAAAATTGTAAATGAATTTAAACAGAACTATAAGCTTTAATAACTGATATTAGAGTTAAATTTCAGAACAGAGATTCTGAAAGAAACAAACTATTTTGGATTAAATTCTTAATGTCAGATGTTTGTAATATTGTCGTTTTCTGTCTCCTCAGTTTGAACTAATTTTCTGCTCTTTGGTCCTGAACTTCTGTGCTGCGTCTTTGTGCTGTGTCTTCTGTGCTGCGTCTTTGTGCTGCGTCTTGGTGCTGCGTCTTTGTGCTGTGTCTTTGTGCTGTGTCTTTGTGCTGCGTCTTTGTGCTGTGTCTTTGTGCTGCGTCTTGGTGCTGCGTCTTGGTGCTGCGTTTTGGTGCTGCTGTCCCTGCAGACGGTGCTGAACACCATGTGCGGTTACGGGATGCAGCAGCAGCAGGAAGCGGCGGCCCGGCAGCACATCTTCACGGCCGGCTGCCTGCAGCGGATCGTCCTGTGGGCCCAGAAGAACCTGCTGCTGGTGGCCGGGCTGACGGCCGGTCTGCTGCTGCTGGAGGTACCGACACCACCGCCGAGCGACCTCTGGCTGACCTCGGTCTGACCTCCGGCTGACCTCGGTCTGACCTCCATCTCTCTCCTGCAGGTGTGCATGATGGGTCTGGCCGCAGCGCAGGCGGCCTGGATCCACCGGGTCCGACGGAGGCAGAAGGTCGTCGAAGGTCGCAGAGCAGAGGAGAGGAAGGAGAGGCTCTGGTTTCCCGCCTTCGCCGACTTCACTGAGGAATGATGAAGATGATGACGACGAGCTTCGTCTCTGCAGGCCGGGCTCAGCAGAACCAAACAGAACCAGGAGGTTTCTGAGGTTCCTTCTCATCTCAGAGCTTCAGGACTTTAAAGTGTGACCTTTGACCTGTGGGGTTCCAGTCTCCTTCAGGCTGTTTCCTCTCTAATCTGCCTGTTCTGCTGTAATCTGAGGCGGATTAGCAGCAGGATCACCTGCGGCGGCAGCATGTTGCTGCGGGAGGCGGCCGTCACGCTCGTCTTATTGGATTCATGACCTCAGGGTCAACCGCCGCGCGCATGTGTGTGTGTGCCTGTTTGTGTGTGAGTGTGTGTGTGTGTGTGCGCGAACAGGATGCATGATGGGAAACCTCGTGTCTCATTCATCCTGTATTTTATACGTGTCCATCGCTATGGAAACGGTTTATGTATGAATACTTGAGGCCTTTTTCACAGAAACCAACTGAAAAAAATAATACATGGTTCAAATCTGAAAAGTGTGGTGTGTCCCCAAAAATGCTCAGGTCAGTTCTGGTTCTGAAAATATATTAAATTTTTACATTTCTGCAGTAAAATGTTTTGTTCTGAAAAATCTTTTTATTTCAGGTTTTATTTGGCTGATCAGAAAATCAGAGAAATTAGGAGAAAATATGGAAACTTTGGAACCTGAACCATCTGAAACGTCCTAGACAAAACCCGGCTCCAGATTTACACATAAATATTAATAACTTCATGGTCAGAAATGAAAAAACAAAAGAAAGAAACTCCAGTTTGGAGCTGAAACAATTAAACTGTTAAGGCTTTAAAAACAGCACAGATATAAAAACGTGACAGACTGGCAGAGGAACGTAGAGGTCAGAGGTCACGTTAAGGCGGGTCAGAGTCCGGCTTTTTCTGGCGTTGGAAACAAATCTGAGCTGAATCTGGTTCTGATCCGAGTCGTGACGAACAGCATCAGAACCGTCGGTTCGATTCCCAGAATCCCTCAGCTCTCCGTCAACAAGAGGACCAGTTAAAGCACGGCGGCCGAGGAAGAGGAGCGCCGTGTCGAAGAACCTTTGACCCCTGACCAGGGCCAGCACCACCAGCCAATCAGATCGCTCCGTTCTGCTGCCACACGCATCCGGATCAGAACTCTAGATCCGGTCTCCTTGCATGTCAACGGTTGGGATCCGGTCGGTTCTGGATCCCTGCAGGTTCTGACCCGGTTCCATTGGTGAGACAACCCGCTCCCGACCAGCAGGATGAGGCGGGTCATTTTGGTCGGGGCGATCTTTGACCCCGTCTGGAGCTCACCTCCAGTAGGACCGGCCGGCCGAAGAGCGGAACGGAGAGTCCGGTTCCGGTTCTCTGGTCCCAGAGCCGGCGGTCTGAGGAGCACTGCCTGACCCGGTTCTGGTCCATCACACCTGGCAGATGTTGTAGTAGACGGTGTGCGCCTGGCAGGGGCCCGGCGGACCCGGCGGGTCCGGCGGGTCGCCCGGCGGGGCGCGGTGGATCTCTGTCATGGGAACGCTGATGCTGTAGGAGTTGCTGTGGCGGTGCTGGGTTCCGTACGACGGAACCGCCTGCAGGGAAACAGAACCGGTTAGAACATTCCTGATTTCTCTGCTCTCCATAAATTCAGCTGGAAACACGTGAAGGAAGATCTGATCTTTGCAGTTTTTCTGACTAAAACTTTGTGGAACCTCTAAAGTCTCCAGGAAACAAACTGATCCGGATCCATGTCAGGAGAACCACTCCGACCCGGATGGACCCGACCCGCCTGGACCCAACCCAAATGGACCCGACCCAAATGGACCCGACCCGGATGGACCCGACCCGGATGGACCCGGCCCGGCTGGACCCGACCCGAATGGACCCGACCCGGTCAGTAAAAGGTTCTGGACCTGCTTCGTCTCTTGGCTGGTGCCTGATTTTTACCTTTCCTGTTTCGCTCAGAGGAAAATCTTTTCGGCACAGGTGTGCGATGATGCCTGCGGCCAGGGCGTCGCCAAGGACGTTGATCATGGTGCGAAACCTGTCGCTGTGAGGCCAGAAGGGGGCGCCGTCAGACTCACAACACAAGGAACCGCCTGCTTGACACAAGGACAGTTACGGATATTCGGCACTTACAGGATCCAATCAATGGCCACAATCAGTGTGATGTCATCAGGCGGCAGGCCCACGGAGGTGAGGACGATCACCATGGTAACCAGTCCGGCCTGAGGGATGCCGGCGGCTCCGATGCTGGCGGCCGTGGCCGTGATGCTGGAAGACGAGGCGAGACGGTCAGAGGAAGAAAGGAGAGAATCGTCTGCATACGGTCGAATCCGTTGGTGACTCCTCACCTGATGGTGACCAGCTGGCCGAGGTCCAGCTCGTAATCGTTGACTTGAGCGATAAAGATGGCCGCCACAGCCTCGTACAGCGCCGTGCCGTCCATGTTGATGGTGGCTCCCACAGGCAGGACGAAGCGGGCGATCTGCCGGTCGACGTGGCAGTTCTCCAGCAGGCACTTCATGGTGATGGGCAGCGTGGCGGAGCTGAGGAACGCAGAGGTTTCACTGCGTTTCTATCAGAGCTCAGCATGATGCAGGAGGCCGGAGCCGCACTGACCTGGAGGAGGTGGCCAGCGCGATGACCATGGCCTGCAGGAGTCCCCGGATGTAGCTGAACGGGTTCTTCCCGGTGAGGAGGAAGTAGAAGAGAGGCAGGAGGACGAGGCCGTGGACGAAGAGGCCGGTGAGGACGGTGATGCCATACCAGCCCAGCTTCTTGCCCAGCGTGCTCGGGTCCTGCATGTCCAGGATCTTCCCTGCCACCAAGAAGATGATCCCAAACGGGAAGTACCTGAGGACACAGCGGCGTCCTGAGGGCGGAGCCAAAAAAGGGCGCAGTTCTGCAGAGGGACGGGCCTATGACATCACAGATCACATCTTTCCAACCTCAGGAGACTGAGAATCACTTTATTGGAGCTGAAATTCTTGGGAATTTTTCAGATCCAGACAAAGAAAGACAACAAGTAATGGAGACAAAAGACTTTAGTTCTGGTTCTGTCTAGAAAGCCTGGACCCGGTGACCCTTTGACTCACCACACGGCAGCGTTGATGATCTTCATCACACACTCGTTGATGCACTGGCAGACGTTGACCAGCGGGGCGCCGCGTTCTCCCATCCTGCCCAGCAGCAGACCTGCACAGCAGGGTTAGGGTTGGGGTTAGGCTTAGGGTCCCAACAATAGGAAGTTCCTCTGATCCTCCGGATCCTGCAGAGGATTTCTTCTCAACGCTTTGGAAAAGGAGGATTTCCTGGGAACCGCTCCGCACTCTAAACATTTCGTCATTTCTGCTGCTTCTGATCTGGACGTGATGAAGGTCAAACCATCAGCTTCAACATTTCAACATTTCTCAGAAAACTGATGAAAAGTTGGGAAACTTCAGGGTGTGTTTGTGTCGGACACCCAGCGGTGTTCAGAATATAATCTGGAACCAGATTATATTCTGGTACTGGTAGTAATCTGATTACTGAGGCTGAAATCAGTAACAGTTTGAGATGCTACAAATTTTATCCGTCAAGCAGGTTTATTGAAAACAAAACAATAAAGATCTAATAAAGTGAGTGCCCAGCCCAGACATGCTAGTTGCTAACCTCTCCAATGTTTACACTATCCAAGGCTAACGCTAGCTTATTAAATGCTAACGTTAGCTAGTACTCTCCTCCTCATCTGCTGGAGTTGGTTGCTAAACTATGATTAATCTGGTCAGGATGGAGCCTCTTGCCATCAGGACGTATCCAACCACTGGTTGTGCAATAGCATTTTGGCCCTAATGTCTTGCCATACCCACCCATGGTGGCAGAGAAGATAACGATGCCGAGGACGTTCATCTGCTGGCTGCTGCCAGGACTCGTCTTGTAGATGACGTCTGGGGGCGGAGTCAGCTCCAGGTAGACTGTCTGTCCTTTAGGGTCGTTGTCGTCTGGGACAACGTAGACAAAGTTGGGCTGGATGGTTTTGGTTGGGACTCTGAGGATGGGGATCAGGTCCGTTTTGTACTGCAGAAGCAGTCGGGTGGTTAGAGGAGGGAAACGCAGCAGAAGTGACAGAAGCTTCAGGAGGTCTACCTGCTGGAACGTGGCTTCGATCAGGTTGGAGGGAACCATGTTTCTGTGGATGAAGGAGAGAAAATCTAGCAAATAAACAGAAACTTCATCACAGACACAGTGAGTGTTGGAGCTCCACTGGGCCGTGTGCTCACTCCCCTGCTCTTTACCTTTCTTATTCAGTACTGCACAGCCCAGAAGTGAACCAAACCTCCTGAGGTTGAGCATGAAGTACGAGGGCCTGTGTGTCCTCTCCCCACCTCGTCTCCTCAGCCCAGCAGAAGCTACGTTTCCTGAGGCGTCCAGGAATTACTGGAACCAGACTGGTGCTGCTGGTCAGATTCCTGTCCGCATCAATGTTGGACCCAGAAGTTCCCATCAGAACAGGCCTTGATCCACTGTTCTCCGGTTCGGTCCTGACCCTGGTGTCGCTCTGTCGTCTCTTGGATCCCTTCAGCGTGTGCTGCCCCCTGCAGGCCAGCGCTGCCCCACACAGTCCTGACCGACCGGGGAGCTTCCTTTGCTCTCTGGAACCGCAGGAAGTTCTTACAGCACAACAAAAACAGACGGCAGGCTGCTGCACGCTTCAAGGTCAGAGGTCACCAGGATGACGGTGAAGTGTTGAACCAGTGCGTGCGGCTCCTGTCAGACCCGGGTCTGCAAACGTGCAGCGGCAGAGATCAGTGACTCGGTTAATCTGCCTCTCATCCCGCAGGATTACTAAAAATACCGCCATGAGCTGGAGCTCTGAGGGGATGAAGAGCTGCAGCGCTGCGGCGGTGTGTTGTTGGACTCATCATTTCTGGATAAAAGCGATCAGCTCCATTCATGCCGCTTGGTCTCATGCTGCAGGTTGCTAGGTTATTCTGCTCACTGACCGGTTGGACATCAGAAGAGAGACAAACGTCTCTTTACATCCCAAACAAGACAAACTTAAAACTCTCCACCATGTCATCTGTTCGCTGATTAGGTCATTTTATTTCAGGGCATCAGAGTAAAGATGGTTGAACACCAAAACATTCCACCATGTTTAAGACTTTAAGCCGTAAACAACAGTCAGACCATTTTCCTTCTACCTCACAGGTTGGCCTGCAATGCTAGTCAAGCAAATCACTCAGACAAAGTATGCCACCACCTCCACATGATGAAATGACCTTTGACCTCCCTCACCTGATCAGGTCGAGCAGGGCGTCGGCCGACGTCATGACCGGCCCGCCGCCCAGACGGTTGCTCTCCATCTCCGTCCCCGTGCCGGGCTTGATGATGAGGACGAGGATGATGCCGACCACCACGGCGATGAAGGTGGTCCACAGGTAGTAGGTGACGGTGAGGACGCCCATCCTGCAGCACGCTTTGGACTCCATGGACGACAGGCCGGACATCAGGCTGCACACAGACATGAGGACGCAACGTCATGCAGCCTGTGGCGCCTCCGGAACGCCTCTGCACCAAATCAGTCCTTAAATTATAGAACAATATCAGTGCCGACATGAAGACTACAGCCTGACTAGCGATGGCTACTTCCTTGTCACAGGAGGCTGTGGGCACTCTGGAGCTAGCTACTGATCTGATGAAGGCAGACTGGCACCGGTAATGAGACAGGTTAGCATTAGCTTTAGAAAGGCTAACGTTAGCCATAGATAGACTAGCATTAGCCTTAGTTTAACATTAGCTTTAGAAAGGCTAACATTAGCCAAAGATAGACTAGCATTAGCCTCAGGTTAGCATTAGCTTTAGATAGGCTAACATTAGCCATAGATAAACTAGCATTAGCCTCAGGTTAGCATTAGCTTTAGATAGACTAACGTTAGCCATAGATAGACTAGCATTAGCCTCAGGTTAGCATTAGCTTTAGATAGACTAACGTTAGCCATAGATAGACTAGCATTAGCCTTAGGTTAACATTACCCTTAGAAAGGCTAACAACTAGCATACCTAGGCTGGTCACCTGACCAACTTTAAGAATACACTAATCTTACCTCTACTGAGCTTCCTCTAATCAAAAATCAGTTTAATTAATCTCAAACTGTTTAATATGTTCTGATTGGATATTGAATAATCTAGTCCAACTTTGAAGAGTCTGAGCTCTGAAGTAGGTAACTATTAAAGTGCATGGAGTTTCCCTTCAGCCATCTTTATATGCATCATGTTGATTACAGGAAACTATCAGAACAAACTGTCAAAGCTTCTGCTGGTTTCTGACGTTGTAACCAAACGTTTGTCTTTCTAAAGTTTCCTTTAAAGGAAACCCAGGCTAGCAGTTAGCCTGGGCAAGCTAAATTTTAGTCTATTCAGCATTGGCTTCTCGGCCAATGCTGAGCAGCCAATGGTGAGGTGAGGATTGGTCAGCAAGCAGACCAGCTTTGGATTGGGCTCCGCCTCATTTTAATTACTGCTTCATGTTTTAACTGCCAGCTGTTTGGGCTCCCGGTTCTGCCAGTCCTAAAGGTTCTGGTTCTTCCTGCATCGGCGCCTGCAGTCAGATCAGAACCAGAACTGGACCGTCCTGAAAGTGCCGAGCCGGTTCTGGTGGCTCCTACCTGGACGTGATGAGAGGAAGGATGAGCATCTTCAGCATCCTCATCAGCAGCTCTCCAGGGAAGGAGAAGTAGATCTTAGCCTGAGGACAAAACAGGTCCCACTCCATCAGCGGTCTAATCAAAGTAAAACCTTCTAATCAGCTCTGAATTAAACAAACCACAATCATGTGTCACTCTTCTTCTGCAGATAAAAACACATGTTCAGCTAACAAAAATCCAATTATCACAGAAAATGTTTGACATGGAAAATGTTTTAGTCTGTTGATAGAAGTTCAAGGTTTCAGACGGTACATGAATGCATCACGGTGGTTTCAGCATCATAATGATTTCGGACGGTACATGAATGCATCATGGTGGTTTCAGCATCATGATGATTTCGGACGGTACATGAATGCATCATGGCGGAAGCCTTTCCTACAGTGATGATTGTTAACCAACCACAGAGACAGAATCATGTTCGGTTCTGCAAATCTATGTATTTACATCTATATGATCCCAGTGGCTCATAAATCTTTTACAATCTGATGGTCAGTGAGCGGGTCCGACTGCTCCAGTACTGGACTGGTTCTGATCCGAACTCAACAATTAGAACTTCTTTGTCTCAGTAGGTAATTTATCATCAAAGAGGTCAGAGGTCACATGCAGGGTTCCCCAAGGTTCAATCCCAGGACCCCTTTTATTTAATATCTACATGCTGCCACTGGCTCAGGTTAACACTCACCTCTACATTGTGATGTCATCAGGTGACCTTTGACCCGAACCTACCAGCTGGATGATTTCCAGGATTAGATTAAATGTTCCCACAGATTGTTTTGGATTGACTGAATGAATAATTGTATTCAAATATGACAGCCTGGTGTAAAGTGTGAAGCTGGACCTGCTGCAGAATCATCCGGTTCTCATCCATTTCTTCTTCTTTCATATTAATTCCTGCATGCTAGCGTAGCGCTGACGTTAGCCTTGTGCTCCTGTTGCCTCTAACGGGGCAGATTACCGATGCTGCATTTGGACTGAGTGTTGTTAAAGCAGCGGTCGGCAGGCGCTGACCTGGCAGAGGTCGAAGGTCACTCGCCTTTACAGGAAGAACCTCACAGGAAGTTAAAGCAGTGCAGAGAAATGAATAGTTCATTGATCTACCCCACAGTGTTCTTCAAGCTAACAGTAGCTAGCTGACGCTGCAGGAAAGTTATAGACTTCCTGCTCTGATCTATGTGACCCAGATCTATCTGCCCCAGGGTCAGAGGCACAAACTGACATCACACTTTAAGCTCATTTTGATGAGGGGCAATTGAACGCAGCATCAAGATTTAAACTTTCTTTTTTTTAAAAATCACGATTTTATGTAACTGGGTCAGATTTTCAGAGTTCCTTCAGAACCTCCAGGTTAAACCGAGTCGTCTTGTTAGAAACCGGATCAAAACCGGATTGAAACCGCATCTGCAGAGCTTCAGTCAAAGTCAAAGTTTATTTCTGTAGCCAAAGTGCTTCACAACAAACATCACAGGTAGATAAATGATAAAATAGCAATAAAATTAAGTTTAGTAAAACTAATAAGCCAAATATTAAACTGTCAGATTCCAAAAGCCAACAGTGAATAAAAACCAAACATGGAGTTTTAGCTGCAGCCATTTCCTTCCTCCTTTTCTCTGCAGTTGAAGCTGGAAGGAAAGACGAGTTTCAGTTCAGCAGCCAGACGATCCACCGAGGCTCCATCAGCGTAGGGTCAGGGTCGGGGTCAGGGTCAGGGTCAGGGTCAGGGCCGGGGTCGGGGTCGGGGTCAGGGCCGGGGTCGGGGTCAGGGTCAGGGTCAGGGCCGGGGTCAGGGTCAGGGTTGGGGTCAGGGTCGGGGTCGGGGTCAGGGTTGGGGTCAGGGCCGGGGTCAGGGCCGGGGTCAGGGTCGCCAGCCGACCTCAGAGCTGCTAGAGCTCACTTCAGCACCAGGGACCCAAAAACACTTTAAACCATCAATAAGACCTTAAACTGGATCCTGATGCAGCAGGGAGTCGGTGAAGGGGTCGTAGAACCAGGGTCACAGATTGCTGCAGCATCGTGGAGCTGCAGCATCGTGGAGCTGCAGCATCGTGGAGCTGCAGCATCTTGTTTGCGCTGCTGCAACGCTGCATACAAAGAGTCAGGATAATCTAAACGTGACGAACGACGGGATCAAACTCAGGCAGAGGAAGATGAGATCTGACCTTAGCAAGGATGTAGCTTTGATAGCAGCGCTAACATGCTAATCACATTTACAGCCAGACTTTCACAAACGGCAGGAGGACAGCGGACCGACCGCACCGTCACGTCCAGGAGAGGACGGCGCCGGCCACACGTACGGCTTCAGGTTTTCCCTATTTGGGTCCAGGAATGTCTGAACATCCTGAAGTGGGTCCTGTTCCGTCGGCAGACTGGCTGCGACAGCAGATGGATCTGAACCCATCAGTGAGAGACTTTGTTCTCGGTGAAGATTCGACCCAAAAGCAGCAGATACAAGGCGCCAACATGGACCCGAGGAACCCGAATCCTGTCCCAGGTCTACAGCTTGTTTCTTCTGGTGATGTAATGCACTTTAATCCTCCTGCTGTTCTGGTGGATTGTCAAAGGTCAATCCACCAGAATGACCTTTGACCTTCTGGTCCACAGTCCAGTACAGGTTCTGGTTCCGGTGATCAAAGAATTTTAGAAGCACATCCAGAAGTCAGAAACCATGGAGACGATGGACAACCAGGTGACCTTTGACCCCTTAGAAGGTTCTGACCAGATTTCTGTTGGTGAAAGTCCAACAGAACCAACCAGGAACCAGAGCAACATCAGAACCGGTCCACAGACCCGAGTTCAGGTTTCCAGAACCTCCTGTTCTGCTAAAGTTCTGGTCCTCATGCGCGGTTCCTGCTCTGGGCTCCATCAGAACTTCTGGGTCGGTGTCAGAAGGAATGGTTCTGATTGGACCCGGTTCTGCAAGTTCCTGCTGAAGACACGTTCATTTGGACTGCTGGTTCTGGAGCAGAACCAAGTCAGCTTGCTGCTTGAGGCTGAAGCTGTGCTTTAAGTGGGCCAGGCCAGAGGTCAGAGGTCAGCTCAGTTATTTTTTTGAGAAGTGAGTATTTGGGTTCAGATGACATGAAAGGTCATCGGGCATTGCTTCTCCCTGGTTGCTATGGAAACCGTCAGGAGGTCATGTGTACAGGTCAGCTGGGTCCTGGTTGCTATGGAAACGGTCCCGGAGACGTCGGGGCGTAACGAGCTACAAAGCGAACAGAACTGCTGCGGCGGAACCAGAACCGTTCGGGCCAAGCGGAGCTGCAGACCCATGGGGCCCGGAGAGGTTCTGGTTCCGGCCCGTTTGGCGGTTCCGTACCTGGGTCGACAGCTCGGTTCCTCTCAGCGCGAAGCCCAGCGTGCAGCCGGTAACCACGGCGATGACCGACAGCGTCAGCAGCCCGTTCCTCCGGCAGAATCCCCGCAGGTTCCTGCAGCGGGCCCCGACCCAGAGGGCCCCGGGCCGGGCCCCGGCGCGACCCGCCGGGCCCCGACCCGCCGGGCCGCACCGGGCCTCCTCCTCCTCGCCGGGCAGCAGAAGCTCGTCCATGGCCTCCGAGGCGGCGGGGTCGTCCAGCCAACGAGGCGCGGGGCAGCCGGCCTCTTCCATGAGGGAAAACGATCAGCGACAGCAGGCGGCGGGAGGCTTACCGCCTTAAGAGGCTTAAGGCGGACCGGAGGGGGCGGCGTTTCCTCTTCTCTCCTTCAGGAAGGTGATCAGAGGTCAATGAAACCGACTCCATCAGCAGCAGCTCACCTACAGGAAGTGATGTCACGACTCCGGTCTCCTCCAAGAATCAACCCAGGAGGCCCAGAGTGGGGGGCCAGAGTGGGGGGGCCCAGAGTGGGGGGCCAGAGTGGGGGGCCAGAGTGGGGGGCCAGAGTGGGGGGGCCCAGAGTGGGGGGCCAGAGTGGGAGCCCAGAGTGGGGGCCGGGGCCAGTCAGCTGACGCAGCTTGATGTGGAAACAAACACAAAACATGACAACATGCTGTTTTGTTCTTACAGTTTATTTGAAGAGAAGCAGAAACGGCTGGTCTGGGTTCTGCTGGATAAACAGTGAAGCTCAGAGGAACTGGACCTGCTCACCCAGTTAACAGTTAACCCAGCATCATGCTGACACAGCTTAATAAGGACTGTTATCTCCAATTGTTATAAAAATGACGTATATGTAAAATTTGACTTTTACTAAATCTTGAATTTGGGCCTCTGTCTCTTTCTGAAGCTCCGCCTCCAGGAAGTCATCCAACATGGCTCCTCTATTAACCCTTTAACGTTTCTGCCAGCGCTGCTCTGAGCTGCAGCTGCTATAATGAGCTCAGCAGCTGTTTGCTAATTGCTGCTGGCTAGTCTGAAGGAGCTTCACCTTGAAGGCAAGGCTCGGTCCAACCAGGCGTTTTAACAGCTGGACGGTTGCCATGGAGATTAAAAGATTCCTCAAACATGAAAGAATCAAAGCAACATAACAATAAAAATATTAAAAACATTTGATTTTACGCGATACTGGCCCTTTAATTAAATCAATTCAGTTCTGTTAAAACACATAAAACAAACTTTAATCTGAAAAACTTCAACAGATTGTTATGCAAACATGACCGCAGATCATCTCTGGGTACAACAGAATCTGACTGGACCGCCTGGTTCTGACAGATCGCACAGTCTGGTTCTGATCCAATTACTTCACACAACACAAATCAGCACTGATCAGAACCCAAGCAGAACTACAGGAGGGACAACCAGAAGTGATGTCACAGAGGATGCAGGTCCTGGTTCTGATGGTGAGGGATCCTCAGTGGCTATGTTCAGGTTCTGGTTCAGGTATGGAACAGGTTCTGATCCATTCTGGTCAGAACCTGCAGGACGGTTCTGAGCCTGCCAGACGAGGTTCAGGGTCAAACATTCAATTAAACTGTTAAAACCAGTTCTGGTGACCAGGTCCGATCAGAACCAGAACATTATATGAACAGCAGAACATCTCGGGGTTCACCGCCCAGCGCCCCCTGCAGGAGGAAGCAATACAGCAAGAAGAGCGGCAAACACCTGCAGGTTGTATGGTCAGGGGTCAAAGGTCAGGAACAGAGGTTCCCTCTTTAAGTCTCTTATTCAAGATGTAGGTTCTGCTCTCTGCAGCGATTGGAGAGAGCAGAGAGGCCCCGCCCCGTCCTGAGGGCCCCGTCCTGAGGGCCCCGTCCTGAGGGCCCCGTCCTGAGGGCCCCGCCCCTGTCGTCACCACCTGATGAGCAGCAGCGCGGCGAGCGCGGCGTAGCCCAGGAGGAGGCACAGCACCTTGAGCAGGCGGTCGTTCCTCTGCTCCAGCTCTGGACTCAGGACCTCCATGAAGGTGACAAACAGGAAGGTCCCGGCGGCGAGGCCCTGCAGCAGCAGCGACGCCACGCCGGCCGCCAGAGTCTGCGCCGCCTCCACGGCCATTCCTGCCGCCGCGCCCAGCGGGATCGTCATGGCGACGGCAGCAGCCAGCTTGGCGGCGTCCTTCATGCCGAGCGCCGCCTTGGCCACGCTGACGCCCAGCGCAGTGGCGGCCAGCGTCTCGTGGACGGCCACGCCCAGCAGCAGGCCGCCCAGCTTGGCTCCGTCCTCCTGCAGGCCCAGCGCCACGCCCTCGAACAGCGAGTGGGCCGACAGCGCCAGAACCAGGCCGGCCAGCCGCAGAGGCCCCGCCCCCGCCAGCTGGCTCGGTCCACAGCGACCGTGGCGATGGCCGCCGCCCAGGAAGGGGGCGTCGTTCTCCGAGTCGCTGCCTGGCTCCGAGCCGCCGGCATTGAACGTCTCCAGGGCGATGAAGGACGGCCTCTCCTTCCTGAAGGTCAGGACGGCCTGCTCTACAAACAGCGTGATGAAGAAGCCCACCATCATCATGGTCTCAGCCAGCGGGTAGTCGCCGCTGACCTGCAGCTGCTGCAGGACGCCGGCCGCCTGCAGGGGGAGGGGCCAACTTAGACAGGCTTGACTTTTACCACTGAAATAGCTGCAACTAATCATATTTTCAAATTTACCAATATTTGTGGTACAAACTCTGGAGAAAATAGTAAAGAAGCAAGAAAGAGTCCAGGCAAAACTTTTGATGAGGGATCATCTTCACATTATGACGAAGAGCGGCGTCATCATAATGAAGCCGCTCTTCATCATCTTTCATCATTTATTGAGAAAATTTCTCATCATGACTAGAATTTTGATTTGTTATCTTGAAAAAACTACATTAATGTTGTTGAAAAACAAAACTGGCTTTATCAGGAACGTTTCTGTGACAACTTCCTGAAGGTGGAGCTTCAGAAAGAGCAGGAGTTCTTAAAGGGACAGATGCCCAATTTCAAGGCGTTAAATATTGAAGTCATATTTGATATACATAGTATTTCTATAACAGCTAAAGTTACTTGATAGGGCCTTAAAATGGCCCAACGTGCCTGGAAAACACTGTCCCTTTAAATATGTTACTGAAATCAGATGCTTGTGAAGCTGTTTGCTGTGCTGTGTGTGTGTGTGTGTGTGTGTGTGTGTGTACCTTGTCTCTGACAGCAGGCAGCAGAGCGTTGAAGCACGTTGCCAGGAACACGCCTCCTCCGAAGCAGTTGCCAAGCGCCAGACCCCGGTGGTAGCGCCCCGCCTTCTCGCTATCGGCCAGCAGGAGGCGCACCGGCACCAGGATGCCGGACAGCATCAGCGCAGACAGGCCTACCAGACCCAGCAGCTTCACCACCAGGAGCTGCATCCTGAGCTCCGAACGCTACTGGCAGCACAGTGACATCACTTCCTGTGTGGTGAGCATGGAGGAGCTGCAGCGTCTCTACTGGTTCCACTGGTGGAGACACAAACAGAGCAGCTGTTACTGGGACCTGCTAGTGTTCTGGTTCTTCAGCAGCAGCAACTGATTACTGGGTTATTTTGGGTCGCAGCCACAACCAACAGGTCTAAACTGAAGCACAACCTCAAATATTCCATTAAATAATAAACAACAAAATGTATTTATTCTTTACCATTTTTACCTCAACAAACAGAACATAGGAACAGGAAGTGATGTATTTCCTGCCCTTCATGTCCATATCAGGAAGGAAGAAGTGAATCGACTGCAGGAAAGTCACCTTTCCTTGCTTTATTAATGTAAAACTGCAAAATATTTCCCATATTTCACCAAGTTGTGACAGGTTGATAAGATCCAGATAATGTGTGAAAAGATCGTCGTCCTCCACCTTTTTCCTGAGCTGCTGTCTGAAGAAATGCACAAAAACAGCCAATCAGAGCCAAGAGGCGAGTCTTAGCACTGCCAATCATCCTCAGGTACTCGCTGCCCGATATGCTAATGAAGGAGAAACAATTTACTGTTACAGGAAAACCATTTATCTGCCATTATTGAAACCATGCTAACTAGCCTATCCACGACAGGCTATGCTAGCTGCAGCGTGGAGAGTGATTGGTGGATTCACTCTCTATAACAGAGAGTGATTGACAGCATTGGCTGTTTGTCTATGCCACAAAAAGAATTTTTCAGATTATGCGTCTCTCACATAATCTGAAAAGGCAGGCGGCTGCGCCAATCTGTTGTGGTGAAGAGCTGAGACAAAAGGCGAAGGTCTCCATTTTACCAGTCGATCTAACTTCTTACGCTCATCTTCATGACCGAAAGAATGAGGTCACGGATACAAGCAAAATGGGTTTTCCCCGTGTCTGGGGTCTCCCTGAGAGAATCTCGGTCGTCCAGGAGCCTCTGCTCCTCCACATCGAGAGGAGCCAGCTGAGGCCCGGGGGCCAGGATGGAGGCTCCCTGTGAGGAGTTCAGGTCCCTCCGGGAGGAGAGGAAATGTAAAAAATGTTCTTTTATGCACCTTTAACCGCGAGTTCACCTGTTTTTTCCCCGATTCATTTATATTTATCCCGTTTCTTCCTGATTGGCTTTGCTCTGTTCGGGTCTAATGTTTCTGAACAGAACCAGCCCGGAACCTGCTGCTTTCATTTCTATTCTTAGGTTCCTGTCAGCAGCAAGTTCTGGTCCAAATGAGCGGATTCACCAGAACCTTAGCAGAGACCCTTCTGGTTCAGAGCTCTTCAGTTCAGATTAATTAAAAACACCACAACAACCTACTTCCGGTTAGCTGGCTAGCTAATAGCTAGCTAAGGCAGCCAACTGGGCAGGCCCGGAACCAGTCAGGTGGGTTAGAATGGCGGTTCCGGACCAAGTTACTGAAGGAGCCTCTTTAGAACCACACGAACCGGCTCCATCCCAAACAGAACCACCCCGTGTTTACCTGCTCGAACATCTGTCCTTCGCTCCGGCAGGTGCGTCAAAACACTTCCGCTTCTGCGTCAGACTCAACGTGCGCACTGATTGGTGGGTTCCTAGTGACGGAGAACTCCGTAGCATTTTTTTCTGTATTTACGCCCCAAAACAGATAATTTTGTTCCACCTTTTGCTATCAAAGCAGGACTGGAAGCTTTTACTTCAACATTTTTATTTTTTATTGAAACCTTTTTTACGTTTTACAAACATTTAGAATCAAACGTTTTCTCTCTTCTACTGGATCCAGATCCGGTTCTTTCAGTTGGAACGTTCCTGCAACAGGTTCCTGAGGTTTTGATGCAAAGCGGTGAAACCAAGACAAAGACTTCAGAACATCTGCTGCTCTAACCTAGTCTGCTGATTAGGCAGATTTAACTGGAAATGTGTTTTAAATGTTGGTTTTCAAATTATGTTTGTAATACTTTGAAGGAAATGCTGTCACTGCAGCCTGGTGGCCGACCAACACACCAGTCAAAGTCCACAGGAAGAGTCTTGCCTTGTTTCCACTGAGCAGTACAGATTGGATCGGTTCCATTTATAAAGCAGTCCATTGCTGGACTAGGTCCACAGGTCAAAGGTCAGGTTCAGACAGAGCCACTGGTGTCACACTTCAGTCCACTGATGGGACAGGAAAATGTCACCGATGGCGACAAGATGGTGAAACACTTTCCTGAACATGCTGGACCACAAAACGACTTATGGAACCAAACAGAACCGCTGAGCAGAAACATGGCATCCAGAACCCTCCAGCCGGGTCGGACAGAAATCAAGAGGATCAGTCACCTGCTGTTCAGATCCCTGCTGGTCCACCTCCTTAAATAAACTATCTGTTGATACGTTCAGGAACCAGACAGAAACAATCTGCTGCTGATCCGGAGTCCTGCTTCCTGTTCTGACGCTGAACGTCTTCGCTCTCCACAGGGATGCATTACAACTTAACTTTACTTTAGATTTTATTTGAGCTGTTGAAACGTCAATCTGCTGCTTTCGGTTGTAAATATCTCCGTTGTTGCCATGGTTACGCATTTTCGCAACTCCCTAAACAAATGAGCACCAGCATACTTCTACGTTTTGATTCGATAAACAGAAATCTATATTTGACGTGTCCTGTACGGTTTGATGGGTCTGAACCAACATGCAGGTTCGCTCCAGATCTTTAAGCTCCTCCTCCTAGCTTCCAGCAGTCATCACCAAACCGGGAGACGCCCAGACCTTCGGCCTGTTCGGATACCGTGGAAACAACAACCAGACCGCAGAGGAGTAAAATGGTGAGATGCTCTTTTTAATAGGTGTCAAACAGCCTGGCTCCTGCAGCTCCAGGTGGAGGAGCCGCTCTCATTTACAGCGGAGCTCAAACTGCCTCTCAGCCAGCCAGAGACCCAGAAACAGGCAGAGACGCTTCTTCAGGTCCAGTCTGCTGCTTTCAGAGGAAACCAAACACATTTGAAGCTGTGGAAGGTGTGATGGTGGAAAACGCTGCCCTGCAGAGACGCACAGAGCTGCAGGAGCAGAGAGGGCTTGGTGTTCCTGAACAAAGCCCACACTCGCTCATGCTGCCATTACACAGTTATTGAAAAACAAAACATTTCCTTAAAGTCCTTTGAGTTTTACAGTCCAATCAGAAAGGAAATCAAACCAGATGCTGCCTCCACCAAAGCTGTCCAACCTGGAAGAGACAGAGAGAATCAGACCATTGCATCGATACCAAGCAGAAATCTGGGTTATTTAGAGAAACAGGAGAATTAATGTCACGTTTTCTCCTTATGTATTCATCAAATATCAGTTTCAAACTTACTAGTAAATATGTAGCTTCAAAATATACTGCAAGTTAGCTTGTATGGCGGTAGTATAACTGAAGCTTGGTGGTGGCACCATCATGATGTGGGGCTGACTAATTCAAAGTAATTAAATCTTAAGGGTCAGTAATAATAATTTGATCAACTGATCAGATCAATAATAATCTGATCAGTAATAATCAATGCGTACCGCTCAGAAGCGTCACTGCTGCTCCTCGTTCCCGGCGCTGGGCGCCCGGTTCCGGATCTGACTCCTTAGCTGTTCGATGAGTTCTGGGTTCTGCTGCTGCATCTGCTGGGCGAACTGCTGCCCCCTGCAGGCCGAGCAACACATTGCAGTCAACCTTCAGGCCGCGCTTCAGGCCGGACTGAAGGAGCGGGAACTCACGCCTGGATGAGGCCGGACAGATCCGCGGGTCCCTGAGCTGCTGAGGCTCCGCCCACTCCTCCTCCTGCTCCAGGACCGCCGCCGACCCCCCCGCTGCCGCCGACCCCCCCGCTGCCGCTGATCCCTCCGCTGCCGCCGACCCCTCCGCCTCCTCCGGTCGCTCCCATGCCGTACGCGCCTGACATCATCCCAGACATCCTGAGAGAGACCATGGAAACGGATCAGGGGTGGAGAGGAGGAGGAGCAGGGATGAAGGTGAGAAACTTACAGCTGCTGAACCTGAGGGTTGTTCATGAGGGTCGAGGCCTGCAGAGAGCAACATCAGTCAACACATCACAACATTCAGGTCAAAGCCACTGCCGACAGAAATTTATAAACTGATGTGAGTCAACATGGAGCTTTGGTTTCATCCTGATTAAGGCTGATGGATTCCCATTTCCACATCTCATCATCATCTTCCTCGCTTTAAAAGGAAACCAGCTTCATCTTTTTCACATGAGAAATATCTGAGTGTTTCTGAATCAGGAAAGCAGCTCTAACGATAGTGGCTCTTCCTGCCGCATGTTCAGACTGATCTGGTCCAGGACCAGACGTCAGGAATATTCCCCACTGTGGATCAACCAGGATGATGAACCAGAGCGCAGCCTGTTGAAGCTGACGTTAGCTTCAACAGGCTAACGTTGGTCCATCAAGCAGCTGCCATGATGGACCAGGAAGTCCAGGAAGTCTGGAGAGCAGCCAGAGAAAAATTTGGATAATTTTTTCTGTTAAAAAAGTTTCCAAACTGTTGCCACAGATTCTTGGCAGTCGGCCATGTTTGTTTACTCTGAACTCACGTGTGATCTTGAGAGGCTTTGTGAGATTTCTGACATCTGGATGTTGGTATGGTGTCGCTCTACGACCGATCCTGATCTGGGTCAGATTTATTGTGGTTGATTCGGCCGGGAGGAGGAAGAGTTCTCCAGTGTGTGAACCAGACAGCAGCTGTTTTCTCCTCCTTCCCTCTGACCGCCGAACATCGACATGGTCCCAAGCTTCATTCATTAAAACCACTAGGAAACCCTTCATCCTCCTCATCATCAACAGGCTGAACTCCTCGTCTTCCACTCTTCAGCTGGAATTTATTTTTGCTGCTTTTCTCAGTGCTTTTTTACGTTTCCCTCCATCCCTGCAGTTCAGTGCCGAGCCACTAGAGGCAGTCACAGAAACAGCTCTGTGTGTCACATTATTCTACCTTTTCAACAATAATTCAAACTGAACTCATCTTGTTTTCAGATCTAAAGCGTCGCAAAGCTCCAGAAACCAGACCAGACCAGCCAGAACCAGCCGACCCGTTATGGTCTTCCTGTTCTCATGCATGCAGACGATCAGGTGATCGTTTCTTTACTTCTGTGCGTTCGGACCGTCAGAGCTCACCATGTTCATGAAGCCGGGGTTGCTAAGCAACCCAGCCAGGTCGATTCCTCCGAGACTCCCCGACTGAAACAGAAGAAGAAGAATTAAGCAGAGACAGAAACTGCCCAGGTCGGACCCGGTCCGGTTTGGCCCAGTTCCTCTTACAGGGCTGGACGTATCCATCTTCTCCTCGGCGATCTTCATGTTGGTCTTGTAGGTGTCGTTATCCGGGTCGAGCTCCAGAGCCTTCCGGTAGTAACCCACTGCCTCCGTGTGCTTATTGAGGCTGGCCAGCGCCAAACTGACCCCAGAACCAGAACCAGAGAGAGAGAGGGGCGAGTCAAGAGGAAGAAACTGAGCAGAAATGATCTGAAACATCTGAATGTTTGGATGAATCAAAGTGGTTCTGATGTAGAGGTCCTGGCTTCAACCGACCAGAGTTTCCTCCAGTGGATCATCAGCCTGATGGGCCGCCAGGCTTTACTCGACTCTCTGCAACTTGATCAAGTTTATGTAAATGAGCCACAAACCCAGCCAATCACAGACCGGTGTTATTCCTTAATAATACTAAATTCAACTGAATAAGTAACCAGAAAGTCTAAATATGTGCTGGGATGTATCCATGAACAAACCGAGCTCCAGCAGAAAGATTCACCTCATAGCATCACATCACTGTCATGAGATTCAGTTTTAGCACTTTCACAAAGGAAACTATCCGGCTGCTTTAAAGCTTAGATAGAAATATTAATCTAGATGTTTCTGTTGGTCTCACCCCATCCGACCGTACGCCTTGCTGTAGTTCGGGTCGATCCTGATGGCCCGTTCACAGTCCTGCACGGCGCCGGCATAGTTCCCCAGCTTGCTGTATGCCGCAGCCCTGAAACCACAGCAGGACATGGGTCAGAACCGGGCGGCTGGAGGTCCGGCTGGGCCGGGTTCTGGCCCACCTGTTGCAGTAGTAGACGGCGTTCTGAGGGTTCAGGGCGATGGCCTTGGAGTAGAACTCAACGGCTGCTGCAAAGTTTTCCACCTTCATCTGGTCGTTCCCTGCAGAGCAGAAAATACAAGAAAACAGAACCACATGAGACAGAGCCTCCAGAACCAGAACCAGAGTCAGAACCAGAGCCTGAACATGAACCCACCGTCAGTTTTCAGCCGCTCCGCCTCGGCTTTCTGCTCTTCTGTTGGAGAACTCGGCGCTGTGTTGTTGTTGGCGTGGGACTCGGCTGGGAACTGGAAGACACAGAACCATCAGAACCGTCAGGTTCCTCCGGACTTCCTCTAGCAGCAGGAACTGACCTTGGCTGTGGCCGAGGCAAAGATCTCTGGTAGCGTCATGGGAACAGCCAGACTCTGGTCGTCCGTGGAAACGTCAAAAGCCGTCTCCAGACACTGGACAGCAACTAGAAAACAACATGGAGATGTCAGGCAGCAGACCCCCGAGCAGAACTGGGCTGGACCCG